TGACTCCGCCTATATTGACCAACCGCTTAATACGAAGTAGTTGCAGTGTTAAGTTTGGTTTTCATAATAAGTTTGGATATATTAACTCCGTTTAAAATGACATATCGTTTATTATGACTGATTCTCAAGAAATCATATCAGGCTATAGTGATTAATAATAACATTTTCGATCATTTTTCTGACCCTTCTTATGTATATTGATATTATAATTCGTCGTTCTTTTTCTTTTTCTTTTAATAAATATATACAATTTGTAGTTTTTCTCTCTATTAAACTAAATAACTAACCAAAATAGAAAGTTGTTTATTTTCTAAGAGTATGCTTTATATGACGCCCGCTTAGTATGACGTGTTTGTCATTTCCCTTCGATGTCATTATAAGTGGATTCTATTGTATTTCATAAAATTTTATTGACTGACGCAGTGAAAAATTTATGATGGTGATAGGTAGCCATTGATTATTTTTCCGATGAAAATTAACAGAAATCCTAAAGATAATGACTCAAAGTATATTCATTATTAATTAATGAATTTACTATAACTTCATCAACGATCTGTTTAACAATCAAATGCAAACCAATTTTACGGCTTAACTTAGCGAAACTTAATTCTTATCTCTGCCTATGACTAACAATTAAACAATAATACGAAAATTTTTTTTACAAAATTATTATCCACCCACACAAGCCTTTACAAGGTGAAATATTTGTAATGATAATATACAAATTTTTTCGTTTTTTATTTAAGTATTTTAAAACTCCATAGGCATTGAACTCATTATTAAACTCAATAATTTTTTTCGGAAACTGCATTATGATAAGTAATAATTTTTGTATAATTTCACTCTCTTCTCAAAAGTTTTTAAAAAATCGAATTAAACACAAAAAGCTCTGAGCACATTTTACTTGCCAAGTCCATTAAATAATATTATTGTATGTCACCAATTATAATCATGATACTTTTCCTTAATTACTCGAGGGAACCTTAAATTACTAAGGGCAGATACAAAATGAGACCAAAGTCTATAAATGTCATTTTGCGTGAAAGAAGGGCAATAAGACATTAAATTCTACAAATGCAGGCTTTTCTCGTAGCTAACAATAAGCACAAATCATTAAAAATTACTTTAAGAAAAGTTGTGTAAACACACTTAATACTATCATTGTACTACTGTTTTAATTACCTAACAAATGATTTTATAAATATTAGAGACCACAGTCAATTTTTTGAATCAAATAAACAATTTTCTAAAAATTTTTATTGTGATAAAAACAGAAACAATTCGAAAACATCGCCGTTATCCTTATTATTATTAGTATATGCATTAATTCCTTAATTAATTAATCACAATAAAATTAATTAGCAAAATGCTTAATTGCTATTACCTAGTTCAATCCCGAATTTTAACAAGCGACCTTCACTGCATTGTGTCTGACAATCAGTTGACTTTTACTTACGATAAAGTGTACTTAAGTGTACTGCGTAATGCACATGAACAACGTACATACACATATGCATAAAAGTAATAGTCATTTTGTATTTTGCAGCAAGACTTTTCTCTTATGCGACAAATCTATTGGATTAGTTTTTAAGTTCCTTATCGGTAATAGCGAACTTCTCATATTCATAAAAACAAAAATAATAGATCATAACCATAATGATTATTCACAATTTACAACCATTTAGGCAGATAAATGCTAGTTTTATTTGATGAAAGATAGATACTATGTTTTACATTAAAATATGTTGTTTTTATAATTCATTCTATGTTGGTAATATTTAGTATAGGTGCCTCAACATAAAAGTCCTTGGGATTTTTTACATCATCACTAGACTCAATTCACAAACTATGGTCTGATCGGGTTCTAAATCCATTTAGCTTACGAAATCTAGATCAAAATTGATTGGCAACTAAAGGACAAACAATATTTAGTTCAATATTGTCGAATTAAACCACAAATTAGCTCTAAAAATTAGTAGAGAATGAGGAATCTATGCATAAGTTCCTGTGTACGTGATTTTCTTAACATGGCGAAGATTAGGAAAATTTCCTAACACAGTTTTATGTAAATCTTTTTAGGTTCTTATGATATGATTTCTTTCTTGATATAGAATTATTCAGCTTACATACAGAACCCAATGACCTCGTGAGGATTCCATTTTACCATTTTGAGGTACGTAACCCTACAGCATTCTAGCAAAGTAAAACTAATTTTTTTGTTCAAATTCTTTTTCTAAAAAGGGCGACACATTAAAAATGTTTTTCATAATAATTTTTAAAAAAGCATTCTAATAGAAAAGCCCAAATTTGCTAGAATTAGTGAAATTTCGGGCCACAGGTATCTATTGTACATGCAGTAGGTACATTACACTTACTAGGTGTTTGAATTGCCTTGCACCAAAGGTCAAAAGCCAAAATAAATTAACAAATCTCCGCCCACAATTTTAATTAAAAACCGGTCTTTTACAACTGTAAGGTACTACATGTACATATACATACACAGGTGAATCTATGTACACTAGATAAACAAGTACCGTTTGCTCAGCTTAAAGACCAAATAAAATCAGTATTAATTGACCTGTCAGTTACCACAGCTACTGTAACAGTTATATCAAACGACTTAATTACGATGTCTTATTTCCGAACTCTTTCAATTATTGACACCGACCTACTACATGGGTACGTACATATATGTTGCTACATCCAAACATAGTCACGCTTATTTAATAACATGCAAAAGTACGGATTTATCTTTTTTCATTTTATATCCAACAGGAAAAGTCGCTAACATGAATTATCACTGAGTCATTACGACCAGGGGACAAATATTATGAAACGTCAAGAACGTATCAGGAAAGCACAGGAAAGTACAAGAGTTCTAACTCGTTTTCAATTTTCGACGCATAATAAGAACTTTTTTCTTTAAACCCAATGAAAAGAAACACCTTCACGATTTTATTGTTGTTTTTAAATACTGCCTGCCTATTATTCAGAAAACACAAAACATATTTTAAATTAAAAGTGCAAATATAAACTTTAAGCAGTTTGCCAAGAGCTTTTCTAACTCTACCTCCCTAGAAAACAAAAGCTGATTTTGATACAATTCATATTAATGTAGGATATATACGACAGACGGGCAAACAGGAGAACATACAACAGTAAGGTGTCCAATTTCACAATTTGATTATGAAACCCTAATAGTTATGTATACAAAAAACAGAAAGATCGTAAGTTAATGCACCGTGGTCAGTTAGCACAGTGATCGTGATACTTACCAGGTCCGGTTCGTCCGTTTAAAAATCCATCTGAGCATGAAGAAGGGTGAAACAGAGAAGTAACTGCATCGCAATATAATTGAAAGAAAAGTTCATGCGAACAAGTCCTCAGTCCGAGCACATTTCACTAGAAAACCCGTAAACAGCGATATATATATCTCGCCACCACAGAAGAAACCGGAGCAAGTGCCCGACCACAACTAAGACCGATAACAACAGCGTCAATAATAACAATAACACGGCCAAGAAATAGCAATATAATGAAAGAAGGTATAGGTAAGTATATGTAAAAGAACCTATTGCTTATGTTGCCGCTGTTGCACGAACGCGGCACAACCGTTCAGCTGTTGAAGTACACTGTCAAACAGAAACCGGTCGTACAGGACACTCTTGGGCCAATGAAAGGCTTGTACAAGGCATGAGCGCTCTCGCTAGTCGCTAGCTCGCTAGCTGCTACAGACACGAAACAGATAGCTTAAGACAAACCATGGAAAACCGTGGAAACAGTCATATACCAAATTTAACGTAACAGGACGATAAACCTGAAGTATATATAAACCAAACCAANTCATTTTTTTGCATAAACTTTTCTTCATGTAATGTCGTCATAAAATTACAGATAATTTTTGTAAATGTATGAATACATGAAATATCGTTCATATGACGTTATATTGCGCTCATACTTATTTAGAAAGAAATTTAGTAAATATGACAGCTATTTTACGTAAATAGTTTGTCGCAAAAATTCAACAACTGGTTTACTGATTTTTAATTCCTAAATTTGATCATTTATTTACTAGTATATATTTTTATTCATTGAATGTAGAACATATGTTTCAAATTTGATCCAAATTTGTTTTCAAAATCGTCTGATCCATTCATGATCATCACGAGTGGCTATCGGGGTATTTACTGTTATTTCACTGATTGTAAAATTCCGAAACACATTCGTAACATTCTCATTTGTTGCTCGCGTAAACTACATAAACGGCAATTTATTTAGCGTAATGGACATTAACATGACTAAAAACACAATTAATTTTATCAAACCAACAATTTAACTGTAGCGTAATTGTTTATCAACCATTCCATTCAACAAACGGGAAACGGTTTTGTTTTAGTTTTCAGTACCAACTAAGATATTAATGTAGGTGATAACATAAACTGCAATTTAATCTAAAAATTGTTTCAAAAATAATATCAACATTTGGAGTGTTACTGATGACTATAGCTTTAATTAGTAGGGCTTGTTTACAATAACCATATCTTATTAAAATATTTGATCAGGTAATATTTAAAACGCCAATTTAATTAAAAAAGCAATAAGTAGCGACATCTATCCGAATATTGTAAGTAGAACACTTAGAAACAGCGCAGCACAGTGCCACCTTACGATATTATTGTATATTTAATTTGTCGTTAAAGCAGTTCGGCAACAATAAATTCATTGTAAAAATATAATCAATCAAATAACTTGTCAAATATGCACTTCTTAAAAATAATTAGCAAGTACTGTTCACAATTGTACTCAGAATTTAATATAATTAATTAAAAAAGGTACATGGTGGCGACATCTATCCGAAAACTAATGTAGAATACTTAGAAGCAGAATTTTAGAGTACGTACAGTTCTGGTACAGTTTAGACTTATAGCGCCATCTTGCTGTATTATTGTACATTTAATTTACCGCCAATACATTAACTTTTGAAACCTTTCGACGCAAATAATCATTGGTTGTAAAAAATATGGGAAGGAACATATAAAAACATACTTCAAATACTACAGAATAGAATATTGAAAACAATAATCAAAAACAATGAAGTGTTTTAGCAAATACATAAATAACATCTCTCAGGAATAAGTAACAAGTATTGTTCATAATTTCGTTTAGAATTTAAAATGGTTTCTTTCAAATATTTAATTTTCTACTTTCATGTTTTTTTTTATTTATCAAGCCAAATTTTAGGCAGTTTGATTTATTTCTTCGACTTTGAAGTTTTAAAGGTACATATAAGTAATTCGATTTCTGTTAATTACAATCATTTTATAAACTGAATAAGCAAATTCAAAATTTAGATACAATTACAATTATATAATGTTGCACTTCTTACCTTTCACTACTTACGACATACAGGTGCACGTTTTTCCAAAAACAATGTATCTTAAAGTTGTTCCATTCATTGATTTAATTATTTCAGAAATTAAAAAAGAAATGTTTAACTAGCTTTTTAAACTTTTATTTAGTCAAATACATATTCAGAACTTTTTGAAACTCTTTTTTGACCCCGTCTGTTTAGTTACTTTAAGAACATTAAATCTGACTGTCTTAGAAAGTGGTCTACATTCTCCAATGGTAACAACGTCCCCTATTTCAACATCCCTAGAATACAAACAAAACAAAAAATAAGTGATAACCTGGCAAAAAATAATTCACAAATAACACGATTAATATGTGATATATATTTGAATGAATAACATATATTACAACACTTACTAAAACATTAAACAATGTACCTAAATTCAAATTCAACTTATTCAGTTTACATAAGTAGCATTGAACATTTTTTTGGCTTACCTAAAACAGGGTGAAAGATGTACTGACATATTTCTATGTCTCTTTTCGAAACGATTGTACTTCCGAATGTAGTGAAGATAATCTCGGCGAATAACAATTGTCCTCTGCATCTTCATTTTTTGTACAACTCCAGTCAGGATTCGACCACGAATTGAAACATTCCCAGTAAATGGGCATTTCTTGTCAATATAGGACCCTTCAATAGCCTACAGAAAAAAAAAACATTTACATAAGGAAAGGGCACAATGAAATATCCAATTTAAAAGCAACAGATTCCTTTTGGTTCAGACATTGTACACAATTAAACATTAATAGACATACAAAATTATTACTAAAGATAGCACAACAAGGCATGGTCTACATATTAATGCTCTTCAGCAATTTCTAAAGAGAAAATTAAATTGATGTAAATTTTATTATTATTAACTTTAGTTAAAAAGGAATTCAATCCAAAATCACTTTTAATGTCACTCTTGGATGTTCTTTTTTATTTAATTTTATTAGACAATTTATTATTTTAGACCAGCATCCATGCTTGTTAGTTTTGGTAACATGCAAATGTTAATTGAAGCAAATGTGGTTAAAACATATATATAGGAAATCTCCACCAACACCAGACCCTGGAAAGTGTGCACCTGCAACACCCTGACATTGACCAGAACCCTTCTTCACCTTAAAAAAAAATAATGCAAAACGAACCTCTCGAGGGGTTTTGAACCCCAACCCTACATTTCGATGGCGTCTGAGTACCTTCTTTTTGCTGCCTACCTTACGGTTAATGTTAAGATGCTGTTGCTTTTGAAAAGCCTTTTCTGTCTAAATAAGAAAACACACATTAGTAAATAAAAACACTCTCCACGTACCTCGCGTGGAGTCTTAAATCCTAATCCAACTTCTCGGTGGTAACGTAAAGACTTGCGCCTTTTACCACCAATTCCTTTTTTACGATTTAAAAATACTGTAGGTTGACGTTGGAAAGACCTTTCACTCTGCAAAATTTAGTACATATTATATTGATGTATATAATTATGTAGTCACGTCTACGTCTTGAAATATTTTAGCTATTACATTCATAAAAAGGACTTTTTTTCACATTTTACAACACGTGTAGGTACAAGCTGAAAATTGGAGGTTAAATTAAAAATCATCTCGATATTTATGTTAACAACAAATGTATGCATTTAAAGTACAGAATAATTAACACAAATTACGTTAACAAATTGAGTTAAATTGAAACAAAGTCTGCAACTGATTCCTAAAAAGAATTACATTTCCAGTTATAAACGGAAGCGTGCTTTCATAAAATATTTTACAAATAATTAAGATATAAAAAATCATTCAAATATAAAAATTATAGCAACAAGTAAAAGTATTTTTTCAAAATAAATATTACTTGCATACATAAGTGCTAAATAATAAATAAAACTGTTACTTACTTGGTCAGCCATTTTTGTGTAAAGACAGAAAACATCAATGCAACAAACAATTAAAAGATGTCGCATGTGTCGCACATTGAAAACTCGCCAAACGGAAGTATCAGTATCGCAGCGCGTAAATTAAATTAAAAAAAATGTAAATTAACAATGAATAAAGTAAATAAGCTCTTTAAACAGCACATTTAGAGATATTTTTAAAAAATACACCAAAGCAAATCAGAAATCCTACAAATTTCTAAAACTTATCTTTATAAACTTATTTTACTAGCAGATTGTATTTTTAGTGTGATAAATTAAACAAATACAAAACATACAGTTTCTAATGTCCTGATAAACTTTCATGTTAAATAATATATTTAATAAGGACTCAAACTAAAAACTAAAAAATCCACCTTTTACTTTATTTTTATATTTAACGAAAATTATAACTTTAAATGTTAGAAAGTTTTATAAAATAAATTAATATCTTTTTCATAAAAGAAACTCAATCCTTATACATATTTTTACAAACATGACGGCATCCAACTGGAAAGTTTAAATCGTGTGAAAATATTATATAAGACTAAATTTAATTCACAGAATAGATTTCCTTTAAAAATATTGCACCTTTTTTAATTAACATAATATTGCTAAAAATTAATTCAATAACTTTCATAATAAATTATTTTGAAACTTTTTTTCCAGCATTTCCAGTTGGAAAACTTATTTAGGCATCACTAAATTGAACTAAACTTTATTATTATATCACAACCAAATTAATTTTATTTAATCATAATTTTGTTTAATGAGAATGTCATTAAAATTGCACAAAAGTTCCTCCCAGCTTCTATCAACTTCTTCGTTCTTTCTTCCTTCAGTTGTCATCTGATGTATATAATATTTCATCATAGATTGTAAGGCCTCTTTGCAATCTTTTATCAACATCGCTTGGCTTAGATAAACAAATAAGTATAAATTAAAATATATAAGTATAAAAAGATCATTAGATAATAATTACCTTCTTTTACATATAAATTTAATTTTAGTATCAGACAATTTCAAAAAGACTTGGTCTGATTCCATGTTTCCTTCCCCATTTTGTTTAGGCAGCTAAGGAAATAAATTGTCAGTAACATCATTAATTTATTCAATTAAATATATGAAAACTTACTTCTTCTATCAATAGGGGTTTATTTCTAAATAACAAAACCGTCAAAGGAGAAATAATACTGGTCTCTCTTATAAGGACTGTACGTCTTACATTGGATAAGGTTTCATTTAAATATAGAAAATAGTCGGAAGGTAGATGTGACTTTTTAAAATTTACACTTTCAGAAGTTATAGTTGCCTTTTGTGAATTCCTATAAAAAATATAACAATATAAATACTTATTTAAGTTTAAAAAATAAAGTCAATGTGATATTTAAGATTAACAAGAAATAAGAACGTCTATGTTTGAAATCCTTTTAAATATTTTACTAAATTAGTGTTTAAATTATACAGTTGATAAACTGAAATAAAGGAACACTTTTTTCTTACTCTGCAGTGAGAAAACATTTTGTTTTCTTAAGACGGCCCTTTATAATGTCCCAGTTGCGATGCTGTAAAATTGTTCCTACTCCTGATAAAAGTACACCAAGGACGAGTCCATCGTTGTCAGAGAAATCATCAGAAATAGGAAGCACCCTATGAACACCTTTCTGAAGGTATTGAAAATGGACTTTACGTAGCTCTGAAACAATTAGTTAAAAAAATAAATGTGTAATACAGTCATATATATATTTTTTTTTTCTTACTTTCAATAGTCTGAAACTTTGAATCCATCAAACCATGAGATTCTGCAAATTGTTTTGATGTCCTGAAGTGACCCTTTTCATAATGACTAAGCCATACTTCAAAAAGTCTCATAAGAGCTAAATGATCGCTATGTTGAGAATATTTCTCTTTTGTCTTTTTTACGGTGTTTTTATCAGTTAATCCCTTTGAAAATAATTCTGATTCTGCAGAAAATATTGTGACTATATCAACGATGGGAGTTACGCATTTGTAAATTAAAGCATTAACCATTGCTTTGGACAGTTTAGGATCCAATTGAAACTCGGACAAAACACGCCCCAGCGGCGTTAAATTCTCGTTTTCATCTAATAATTCTAACTCTTTTAATTCCATTACGGCTCTTTCCGTGGCATTTAAATCGGGTGGTGTTGGAAGTTTACTTAGAAACTCTACAGCATTCATATTGCTACTTACAACTTTACTATCAAGAACGATTTTTGTTAGGCATGTTCTTAAAATTTCGGGTACAGAGAACTTTTGAAACTTTTCGTAAATACTATAAGGATATAAATGGTAACTTTCTCCAGGTTGTACTCGGCCAGCTCTTCCCTTGCGTTGCCTCATACTTGATTGCGAAATCCAATGGTTTCCCAAACAGTACATCCCTAAATTAAAACAATATATCGTTTTATGAACATTTTTCAAAAATTAAAGTTTTTCCATATAGCTATTATATGCAGTTAATGAACAATACTAATAGAGTAGAACAAATTATTTACTTACTTAAATCTAAAAGCGCAAGTGTTGAATAATGAATTAATAAAATCTATGTATTTTTAATTTAAAGTATACCTTTATTTGAATCATAAAACTGCTCTTTGTGAATTCCGGTATCTATCACATAAACTACGTCGTTAACAGTAACTGAAGTTTCTGCGATGTTTGTACTTAAAATAACTTTTCTGATTCCAGGAGGAGGATGCGAAAACACTTTCTTTTGGTCTGAAATGTTTATTCTTGAGTGCAAACAAATAACGCTCATACTAGTGTTATTCTGCAGAAGTTTTCTGATTTTACTGATTTCTTCCCATCCAGGCAGAAAACATAAAATTGCGCCTTCAGGTTTCTTTTCGTTAATTCTTTCTATAAGTTCCGCAACTTCTTCGCAAACTACCGAAGGGCTGTCACTAGTACAAGATTTCAAAGTCTTTGAAAAATGTGGGGAGTTTTCCTCTATAAAGTATTCTTTAACAGGATACGTGAAACCTGGTATTTTTAAAACGGGAGCGTTATCAAAATAATTTTGAAAAAGCTTTGTGTCAATGGTTGCGCTCATTATTATAACTTTTAAATTATCATTTAGAGTTAATGCTTTCTTCAATAAATTCATTAACAAATCAACATTCACGTCTCTCTCATGAGCTTCATCCAAAATTACATGAGTACAATCTGACAATTTTGAATCAGACTGTAAATGCCTCAAAAGAATTCCTGATGTACAATACATCACACGACCGGTGCTGTAGCTAAATTTGGAATCGAAACGTACTTGATATCCGATAACTCTCCCCACCTACAAACAAAATAAAAAGGTTTTTAAGACTTTTTATTTATTTTCATCTTAACTACCGGTTCGTTTCTCTCTGTTGCTACTCTATCTGCCAATGAAACTGCAGCAATTCTTCTTGGTTGAGTTACTATAACCCTGCAAGGCTCTGAATGAATTCCGTTGGAAGCCCATTGCTCTAGAATATACTGAGGCACTCTGGTACTTTTTCCACAGCCTGGCTCACCTTTAAGTATTATGGCTCGATTATTCCTTAATTTTTCTAGAATCTCTTGTCTAATGAAAAAGTAATATTGAATTATTAATTTTATATTCCAATGATCAATAAAACTTTTAAAAACATTTACAAGATAATCTATAAAACTACCATATTAGAGTATTAAAATTTACAGCTATTTAATATTTAAACTTATATAATAAATAAAAAATTTTTACCGAAATTCAGATATTGGCAATTTTACACGATCTCTGATAATAAAAGAATTCAAATCACTGTATGCTGATAATGTTGCTTGTCTATATTCAGGCCATTCCTTATTTACGTTTACAAAATCGCTATAAGAATAATTATTTATCTCATTATCTCCAACATAAGCTTTCAGTTTTTGTTCAAATATATTTTTCATTTCTTCAAATTTATATTCTATATGCTTGTCCAGCGTTAATAAAGGTATATTTTTAGTTGTTGACTTTATCTTCTCTTCGTCATATGTCACAGGAAATCCACGGTTATCAATCTTTTTATTAGATATCAACCACATAAGCACTGCAAGTGCAGCTTTTGTTGAAGCTTCTTGTTTTGTTGCAGCTACGTGTGAAAAACTCATTGAGATAGGCCATTTGATATTATAACTGCAGCTCCATAAGCTATTTCCTTTTTTTAAACCCTTTACCTTCTTATATTGAGGAGCTACTGTTAAGGACTTATCACCAAATTCATTTGAAATAATAGTATAATAATTATGTAATACATTTTTGGGTACTTTTAAAAATACTGCCTTATTAACTTCTGGCACTTCGAGGTTATTTGAATTTTGGACATTTCCAGGTTTATTTGAATTTTGTAAATTTTCTTCAGACAATTCCACATTTTCAGGTACGTTGATGGATTTGTTATTAGACTTTAAAGCATCAGCATTATAAGTAGCGAAAGAAGCAAAACTAGTCTGATACTGCACTTTACTTGCACAAATTGATTTAAATAATGAATTCTTAAATGTCACTGAAAAATTAACTCCCAATGCTTTTAATTTCTTGCTAGGAAAATCAGGATAAGAATTGCTTCGTGATATCTTTTTATTTGAGAATTTGTTTAAATTATTAGAACAATTACGGCAATATTTACTAACAGCATCTCCATATAATGTTTTTTCTGTTGATACTACCTTTAATTTCTTACTGCTTTGATTCACATTTTTTGTTGAAATTTTAATTAATGAATTGGCATTATTTCTTTTAATATCCATTAACCTTTTATATATTTCTCTTCCTTTATCAGCCTCTGTCATTCTTGAATTTTTAACTTTTTTAATACCAAATAAATAATTACTATCTGCTTTAAAACATCGAAAAGGAATAGAAAACTTTGTGTTAAAATGATACAATTTCACAAAGATCTGATGATGATAAGAAGTTCTTTCTGAACTAGCTAACAGTTTTTTGCACCACATTTTTTATATCAAATGTTCTAAGATTTCTTAAGTCGACCCGATAAGGGATTTATATAACTAAAAAAACGCACATTTATTAAAGCTTTGGACAAAAATATAACCTTACCGCAAATTTTTGAAAAACTTGGTTACCTTAGTAGTCATTATCTATGGTATTATTCATAGAACATTTTCCCACTGTACAGGTCCGGCTTCAAATGTTAATTTTTCTACGTTATATAAAACGAGAAATTATTCGATTGATATTATTTCACCATTCAGCCTCACGTTTGATCATACAAAAATGAGATTTGGTAGAAAATTTTCTAAACTCTTGAAATACACATAAACACTTTTAAAAAATGTATAAACTCTGTCATTCATGAAATATTTATTCATTGCAATACAATTACATTAAAAAAACAACTTTAAAGTATTATTATAAATAATTTCAGAAAGAGAATTAGGATCTTCATTTCTTATGGCAGCCAAAACTTCAAAAACTTGCCTGAAAACAGTAACAACAGTATAATAGCAAGAAATCGCAAAAATGGAACAACTTAATTTTTACCTAATATTAGCAGGTTCGTTTCTATTTTTAACCATAAAATCAGCAGACCACTTTTCCTTTTTTACACTTTGGAAATGGTTTTCTTTCGATATATATTTATACCCCGCATGACTCGGTCTTATTTCACACCAAGGACAATCTGTTTCCACTAATAAACAATCTGCCGGCAATTGTGCTACGGTTTCTAGATTTTCTTTTGTTTTTAAAGAACTGCAAGCAAAAGAAATAGAACTTATATGAATTTTATGTTTTCTTAAAATACCATCCATTTAAACCAATAAAATATCCGAGATCGATAAATTTCATAGCTTCTTCCAATGTTCCATCAAAAGAATGGACAACTCCTTTTAAGTTGTCATGCTTTGACAAAATATTGTATAAATCAGTTGCCGCATTTCTGCAATGAAGAAAAAGGGGCAATTTTAAGGTTTCCGTCAATTTCAATTGCATTTCAAAATATCTAGAAAAATAAAAGCAATTTTAAACGTAGTTACTTTTAGCTATTTTGTAATTTACTTTATTTGAATTTCTTTTGGGCAAAACTGTGTTCTGTCATAGTCTAGCCCACATTCTCCAATTGCAACTACTTTAGATTTATTTTCTAAGGCAAGCTTTTCTAAATTTTTCAAGTAATCGTGAGGGCTAGCTTCATTTTCTTCAAATTCTAAACACCTAGTTGGATGACAACCCACAGTAGAAAATAGATTATCTATATAAAATATGATGCACTAAAACGTTACAATGTCATATTTATCAAAAATACCATTTCTTTTAGAAATTTCTAAAGCTCTTTTGCTTTCTTGTAAATTCCCTCCCGTAATGATAATTCGTTTTAGCCCCGCTTCCCAACTTCTTTTTAAAACATTTTCTAAGTCCGGCTCATGCTTTTTAGTGCCATTGTACACCCCTTGATACATGGCATCCGTTAAATTGGCTCCTATATCTAAAAAAAACAATACGAACCTATTATTTAAAAGAATGTGTATTCTAAATTATCAGTACTAATTTACCTATAAATTGCTTGACTTTGCTCATTTTCTCAATTTTATGAGTAGTATGTAACTATCTAGTGTTTCTTACAAATATGCCTGTATAAATTCACAATGCAGCACAAAGTATTTTTAATGTTTTTACTACAAAGTTGAAATGTTCAAAAGGAAACAAATCTTTCTTTTATTTGCGCTTTTTACGCTATCATTTTTACTCGTGTTAATTGTTTTAATAAAAAAGCTTCCTTCGACAGAAAGTAAGGTTAAAATAAAAGTTAATAATATAGAAGAATTAATTTTAGAGGAAGCTCATCAGCTTTCGAACTATTTCAAAACAAAAAGATCAATAAACGAGACAGCGATTAAGATTTTTATAAACGAACTGAATAAAATCGTAATTTCAAAAAACACAACTGAACCACTATGGAACATTGCACGATCATGGGTGTCCAAAACACAACTGTATAATATGAGTAGTATTTATTTGGGAGATGTAATTTACGCTCTTAAAAGCAATAAAATATTAAAAGCTGATATAGATAGTAGGGGTACACAGTTAAAATTGTTTTTAACTTTAGAGGTAAGTTGTAAGTCCTATCTAAAACTCGTTAATATTTTCTACTTTGTGATTGGCTAACCAATAGCCTAGTATTAGTTGACCCAGATTAACGTTGATTTTTTTTAACATTTTCAGGGAAACCAGGGCGCAATTTTCAAACCCAAATGGTACAATAAAGAAAAAATCATACATGGTCCAGTATATTCAGGGAAAGATCGTTATAATTCGGAAATAGTTGCCTTTTATTTATCGGGTATTTTACAAAAACCGCTAGTGCCTCCTTGTTCAATAAGAAAAATATCATTGCAAAAAGATATAAGACCAGTAGCTACTGCACGATTAAAAGATACCATAATTTTTGTAAACGAAACAACGTGTGTTTACGGAATATGTTATTACTGTAATGAAAAAGAACCAGCCTGTGAAGAAAATGGTCTTCTTACTGGGGCTATAATCTTAAATATTAATACCACATTTAATATTTATAAGTCACCTTGGCGAAGAACTTACAGAAACAGGAAAAAAGCGCCGTGGGAAGAAAATGAACACCATTACTGCCAGTATGTTTCAATAAATGAATATGCAAGGCATTATAAATACGCCGTACAAATACGTTATTTTTTTATTAAATCTGAAAAAGGAAATAAACTGTAACCCTTCATTAATTTTATATGGACCATACACCGTGATCTATTAAAAAACCAATATAACAGCCCAAATAATGAACAACTAAGGGCTAACTCAAAATGAAAAAAAATTTAACATTTAATTAAAAAACGGTTTGTTCAAGAAATTTTCTGCTACCACATGCAGATTTGTCTCAAAAATCGAATATGAGATTATTGGAGTAGCCTTTAGTTTGATTTGTGATTTTCTATAAGAAACCTACACATCTCTTTGAAAATGACCATCTTTACATACTTACAATTTTATAACTAATCTAATCAAGCCATTTTTAGGGCTGTACAAAACAAACTGCCAGAAAAAAGAATTTTGGACCTTATTGAAGTCGCTATTTTTGATTTTTTAATTCAGAATGGTGACAGACACAGATATGAAACACTACAAGACACCATTCTCCTTGTGGATAATGGAAAAGGGCTTGGGAATCCATTTAAAGACCATATTGATATACTGGCACCATTATATCAATGTTGCAGGTATATGAAATATAATATTTTCATTGAAATTTTTAATCATAACGCTTGTGTAAACAGATTAAGGAAATCTATGTGGACAACCCTTCAAAATTTGTCTGGTGGAAGAATAAAAGAATATTTGCAACAAATGCCATATGTTTATGAACTAATAACACACCACCATTTAGATGCAATTGAAAGAAGACTGTTAATTGTGTATGCTACAATTCAATACTGCAAAAAAAGAGATAAATTAAAACTAATTTGACACAATAAGTCATTAACGTCTCCTGATTACATTTCAAAAACGCTTGATAAGAAAATTAAATATTGTTTTTACATAACTAAAAATAAATTCAGTTTCCTAATAAAATATTTATTACACACTATCTCATTCATTCTATTTATAAAAAAAGGTTAAATAAAGAGCAGAATGTAGAGTCTTTAGAGGTTCAGGTCATACCTAAATAGATTGAATAATAAAAGTGCCTACAATAGTGTTTCAATGTTTATTTAATGCTGGACTGCACTTTTTCATAGACCCAATAACAATATTCTGTTGCTTTCCTCTTTGTTGTATCCAAAGCTTCAACCACCACCCTTTGGACATTTTCAGGTGCAAGATGTCCCCTACCAAAAATACATACATGCATGACGTTTACATCACACAAAAAAAATTTTACTTACACAAAAACTTCTTGTTGTAAATATTTAACAGTGTTGTTTACATATAATACAGAAATGGACCATGCACTTTGGAGTGTCTTTTGAGATTTATCTATAAGACCAGGTGCATAAAATTCAATCTGAAAATTACAGTTACTTACAGTTTTTTTGCAATATAATAAATTAGCTCATGCAAAATATCTCCATTACAGATTGAGATATAACCAAAATAATAAAATTCTGAACAGGATCCTAAGTTAATTTACTTTTGAGAAGAGGGTATTAAATAAAAGATTATTTTTATATTTCTCTTATCACACTATAAATAAAAAATTAAATTCTTTTTAGAAAAACAAAATGAATCTATACCTCTACAAGGGAGTTTTTTATACTATTTTTTATCCAAATTATTGCAGCTAGCCTAGGTGTCAAATAGAGATCGCAAATTTTTAAAATTTTATTATTTTAAAAATACCCATCATTACTACTATCTAAATGGCATAATGTATTAGGAAAAACCCCTAATAAGTACAAAATATCAGACTAATCTTATTAAGCTATAACTTGTCATAATATGTTATAGGCTTCAAAAATACTACATTCAAGGTAAAATGTCGAATTTACAATCAAAAAAGCTCTTTAACCTTATTTGATTTTGATTATACACTTTTAAGAATAAAAACAGAAATAATATCTGTTTCATTAAGTAACTAAAAAACAAAAATTATACCTACATTATCTGCATATCAACCCATATTCTAAAAACAAAAACAAAGTTACTTACGTGGTCTACCAAAGTAGGAATCTTCTCATTTATTATGTTCTGTTTAAGGTTACCACCTGCATTCCAAACTATAAATCCTATATCATTCAGTAATACAAGGTAGGGTTCTACATGTTGTTGATAATAGTCTGGAAATCGTTCATCTAGTCGTTCATGAACCCAATGGAGACCCATTCGGCCTTTTTCAACTGCTTTGTTGTAATATTCAATAGCTCCAGCATTTTTAAGGCCCTTATAAGTTGATGATTCTAGAATTGATATAATGAGAAAAAGCAAAATACCACCTATAAAAAATACTTACGGTACCAGCAGCCATGCAATTTAATATCATATGCCAGGATTGCTGCAAAGCCCAGTAACAAGAGAAATGACATGAAATTGTAAGAAATTTTTGAGGATTTTTTTGAAGCCATTTTAATTTTTAAGTTCTGTAAAAAGATAACTGGTAAGTTCACAGTAATAACACAAACTGTTACAAATAACATTATTGATAAAAATAAAATGATAAACAAAATACCTTCTTCTAGAAAAATGTCAAACGTTTGTATATTAAAAAATGGATATACAGAAATAAAACCAATTGCCGACCTTATGATGATACACAAATAAAACCGATATTTGCGAATTAGGTGAGAAATTTTTAATATTATTCCACTGTAACTGTAAAAACTGTTATATTAATTTTAATAATGTAAAACGTCAATAAATGAAGAGTTTTTAATACACGCGCCCAGAGTAGTTAAAAAACTGTTAGTGTTTACACTACCGCTCGTCATGATGTGGCTCAATAACATTACATAAACAAGTAAAAGTTGAATAAGATACCAAAGGAGATAGCCCGATTTGATTACGTGGTGTAAATTGATTCGTTTTATACGCTCAGTCGATTAAACTAATGCTAACGTTAAAAAAATGATTATACAGGGTGGCCCACTACTGCGCAGTGAAAATTAAAGTTTGTGTTAAATAGACACTCTATATATTTGTATTATTAATATATGTATTGTATTAAAGTATTGTTAGTTAATTTTAATGACGAAACTTTTAAATACTCTCACCTTTATGGCAACATTAGATTCTTCAAGACCATCTAGTTTCTTCTTACTAGCCTTTAAATCTTCGTTTGTTTCGGTGAAGAAACTGAGGAGATTCTGAAATTTTCCTCTATCTACTAACGCGGACAGTCTTTTCCAGTTCTCATCTGGAAATAAAAACGAAAAAAATAAAAATCAAAATTCTTTCAGCGCATTATCAGTAACAAATGTGCATGATGACCTATTAGGAGTTTTTATCGCTTATAATTGAATGGTACTTAATTAAATGAAATTATTAAATATCAAATGAAAGAATGTACCAATTTGAAACAGAACTAAAATATTTACACATAAATTAAATAAAATAAACAGCAGTTAGTCTTTGCATTAATAAACATAATATACAGGGTGTCTCGCGTCGGTCGTAAGTGCAGATATTAAATGAATTAAAAAAATAAACGTAAACGTTTAGGTGTATAGGGCACTAATTTAGACTGTCATTTCAACTAAATTACTTTCGACGTTTAATTGCTTCTGGCTATACCGGAAATGATCACCACCTCACCTTTCTATAAAAATGAATGAAAAAATATAATAATAAATGGACACACCTATAAGAAACAAAAAATGAAAATGTGAAGATTTAGTTTTACAGAATGAATGAATAACTAAATACTCACCTATATATTTTAAGAGAAAAGCACTACTCTGGATGTTTTTGTTGTAAATTTTGTTCCATGAATTAAACAAACTAGGGTCCTTAATAAAACAATTAACGAGAATATCACAAATTTCTTTTCTATAAGCATTGTTGTTACTGCTTAGAATTTTCTTGAGCAAAGGTTCTATTATAGTACTGCTGCTTTCTTTTTTGTATTGGTTAAGCAACATTTGTTTAGAGACAGGTACTATTTTATTTAAACTGGGCCGGAGATCTGCAGGAAAATTTTTATAATTTGCAAATACAATATCCAAAATTAGTAGGTATTGTTCTTTTGAAAGATTTTCCAAATGATGCCGGTTAATTAGATCAATGAGATATTTTGTTACATAGCGAGAATAGTTTTTCATCTCAATCATTGGAAACATGATTTCCTGAAAAACTAAATAAAAACAAATTCAATTAAATTCAGACACTTTTCATATTGTGAATATTTTTTTCTTCTTAATGAATTATACCTTTAAATCCACTTTCAAAATCCTTGTTCCCACATTGTCCTAAAGCCCAAAGAATAGATAGTCCAATGGATTGCTGATTTTGATATGAATTTTTTAAATCTTTATGCTTATTAAGACTTGCAGTAGAAAACTTGGGTTCATATAAAGCTAAATATTGCAAGAACAGCTTGTGACCAATAACAGGCATTCCTTTACCCATATCTGTTGCCATTGATGTAAGTGAAATACCATAAAATGTCTGGGCTGATGTTCTTCCAACATCTTTGACAGCTTTCTCAATTACACTTCTAATTGAATGAGGTACCTAATTTCAAATATTTTTAAATAGAATCTTAGAGACCACAACCATGTAAGCATCTTTGTTCAGTATGTTTGAGCATATACAATATTTTCTAATATCCTATATAATGAAATGAATATACTTACAGCTGAAAATGGATAATTTTCTGATTTGTTAGAAAATGTATGATCTTGTAAATCAACATGAATTTTTTGGTTTAGAAATTGTGAAAGTTCCTTTAGCCAAATTATAGGTGAATCAGGGAAAAGCTTTTTATTATTTTCAAACAAATTCTTCAACTCTTCTGCGTCAATCTAAAAAAATATAACTGTGAATTTTGTTAATAAGATATGAATATTTTGATAACATCCGTTTACAAGAGATACTTCTATTCACTTACAGAATTCAGAGCATTTTCAATCGTTTTGGGTTTCACTTTTGCTTGCTCCTGAGATTTCTCCTGCTTCTTAGGGGGCTTTTTAATCTCTTGTTTTGGTTTTTCCGGAGGTTTTGCATTTTCCTTATTATTTTTATTGGAGGCATATAAATTCTTTACCTGAAGTGGAGCAACTATAACAAACAATTTTATTATAAAATAATGTATTAGTACCAATAAGTTCACTTACAAACATCTTCAATTTTTGGTCCCTGAACACCATTATTTTTCTTAGCATCTTTTATGTTTTGTTTATTAAGAAGTTTATTATCTCTGCCTTTCTTTTTCCCAACAACTTCCCACTGACCAGACATCCTTTAACTACAATTAAAATTTAAAATACAAAAATGCCACAAACTATAGGGAGCCTATCTTCCTGTATATTTGTAATTGAAACTGCACATGGAAACTTTCTCTTATTTTATTATTATTGTTTTCTTCCACGTATCACCACGTGTCAAACTTTTTAAGTTGTTAGGGTGCGTTCAATTTTGTAGAACCATACTACATGAAATAAAAAAAAAGTTAAAGTTGGGCTAATGTTCTAAGAATCATGTTGTTAAAGTACTATATCATAAATGGGATTCTACACCTCCAGGATGCTTATATGTGAGGTAATATAAAATTTACTTTATCTGTATGTTCCATTATATTTTTTGATGAGAGGAGCTATTAAACGTCATAACGTATGCAATTCTGACGTCACTATATTGGCTGTTACGACTACATGACGTCGCACGAATAACTCAAAAAAGACCATTCAGTTCAAAAATTTACTGGTTTTGTACCGATTAAATTCTATTTATTTAACTTATTAACTACAAAGTTACAACCGATATAACTGTTGTAGAACCTTTATAGATAACTCACAATTTAGCTTCAAATATAAAAACAATGAAAACTGAGTACCTATGTATGACTTACCTCCGCAGTTATAGGTCTTAATGAACAAAAAAGACTTTTTAGTATATATTTCACTTAATATTTTAAATTTCAAAATTAAGTATTGTCACTGATATATGACTTTATCCCCATTTTTACAATTCATATCTCCTCGAGTTTATAAATAACAGAATTAATTATAAAATCAAAATTATTTTTGTTACAGCTTAATTAAAGAAGACCAAGACTTAGGACCGACGATCTTATGATAATGAAGTTAATTCGTACAACGTTTATTTTGGTGATAACTACGCTTATCGGTGGTCGATGTTGTTGTAATATTTATTTGAGAAAGTATTTATTTAGAGAGTAATTAACTTCCGCATTTAATTGATCAAATTGTTTGCATAAAAGGCAATACATACTAAAAACAATTAAAACCAGACAACAGATAATTTACTACACCTTTTTATTTTCGGTTTACATATTCCCACTAATGTCACATAAGCAAACTTCTCACTCGTTGCTAATTTATTAATTAATACAGAAGAACGGCCACAAAAAAATGAGGAAAAATTACTCCAACACTCTGGCCTTAGATAAAAACTAATAGAACGACTTCGTTAAGTAGTAATTAATTAAACGATAAATCAATTATTAATACTATGCAACCGTAAACGACAAGTACAATAATTTACAGTTACATGATGATGGTCCTAATTAAATAACTTTTAAACGACTAATATATACACTGTACTACATTAAAATTAAAAACGCTGCACAAATCGGTACTTTTTAAATATTTTAATTGAAGAAGAGGAAATCAAGTGCACTTCAGAAAAAAAAAAGAGAGAAATATTTACACCTTTTTCAAACACTATCTTTCTTTCACTATCGTATTAGATATATATATTTATTTTATACTTTTGTTTGTTAATTTGGCACACTACCTACACCTGCAATGTACAATCGTAAAATCTTCGAGTAACAAAGCGAAAGACCAAAAAAATTCGAAATGTGCACAATAAAAAGAAAATTTATTGTTCGTTAAAAACTAACGTAAGTAAAATAATATAGAATACACATTTTCGAGTATGCACTTTATTAGAATTACCGAACGGGTGGCGTTACTATTGATTAATTAACTTATATAATATAGAAAATATATTTACAGTTGAGAGCTGCGGTTCAGGAACATTTCCTCCTCTCCATATCTTTGTTTTTTTTGTCTGACACGTTAAGTAATAAGAGATCGTAAGAGAAGAGACGTGTACATAGGCTCGGTTAGAAGCATTACTTTTTAAATACAAACACGCTATTTAATTACATCTCGGAGGGTTGCTTTTCTTATCAACAAATGCTAATCCAAAGCAATATTAATACACGGTACGTTGTTTTTTATTAATTTTCTTTTTTTTTTACGAAAGTAAAACTGTTCAAGTGACCTGTTTTTCGTTTGTTTGTGTACTAATTTTGTTTCAATTTTCAAGATCATGACTCTCCGTTTCCGCTGTCATTTCCGTCATACTCCGCTACTTCGGATCCATCCGAAAGATCGTCGTAGTCTTCGTCGTAGTCATCGTCGTAGAAATCTGTCATTTCTACTTGGTTATCGTTACTAGGCTTCACTTGCGTCTTTATACAGTAGTCTTCTAACGTGAGAGGTACTTGGATACCTTCTCGTTCCGCTTCAGCCCTAGCAGCCATCGCCTGTTTTCTAAAAAATAAATATTTATGTACTATTTAAGACAAAAAACAGGGTTAATATCTAGATGACGGGACCGTCGGTCTGTGGGGAGGCAGGGATTTCTTAACATTGTAGAACATTAAAAAATTGTTTTAAGATGAGGACAAAGGGGTAAACAGGCAGGGGGTGAAAGTGTGCTAAAAGAAACTAACATAATCCAATTCTCACCTAACCCAATCCAATTCACTAAGACATTTGAAATGTCTGCAACCTCACTAAAAAACTCAAAAAAAAAATACTATGTAAGATTATGATAGGATTAGGTTACGTGGGTTTCTTTTTCAAATTTTCTATTTTTTATGCCACCCCCTGCGACAAAATCCCTGTCTCCAACTTAAAACAATTTTTAGATCATCCCCACCCCCTCCCTCCTCCCATTAATTCTTTTCGACAAACGATCGTATCATCTAGATATTTACTATTTTTAACGTCTACCTCGACCTCCCTCTGAGCCCCCAGGTCTCCACCTCTATCTACAAACAATTGTTTAGTGTCCCACAAGGTCCTTCCACCACCCCTCCCTCCAACCAAACCTCACTCCCGCTGACAAACAGCAATCATAAAATTAATTTGATGTAATTGTAATAGAAAATGATTGACTTTGATATGGGATGTGAAATTATGTTCAGTACAGGATGATCATATTGTAGGTATAGACTCGTTCTTAACATGTATAATATTACTTATTACAGATACCTAGTTGTTTGTACCTAATAATATTTTCATATTCCTTGTCTCGTCCTTTCGAGTCTCTCCAGCGTCGATACATGACCGAGGCATCGACATTAGCCGGGCTGAACGTGTTGGGCTCGTTAAGCAACGATATGACGCTCAGCAGTATGGTACGAACATTTTGCGTGGGGTTCCAGCGCTCGCATGGCAACTCGCCAGACTGTGGATCGTCTATTGGCGGGTGCAGGATACTTATACACAAGTCGCCGTTCTGAAACAAAAGAGAATTGAAAATAGAAAAAAAAAAAGCGCACTGAAAATTGACGTCACATTTTTGAAACACCTCGACAACAATCTCTTTATTAAACAAAACAAAAGAAAGTATTACCGGAAATTAAGATGCAAAAAGAATATCATTCTTGGTCCTAATTATCCTGTTTTTTTATGGCAGTGTCCTAAGATTAAACTAAATTAGAGTTAATCAAAATCTCCTTATTAAATAATCGTTTTTCAAGTTGTTACAGTCTTTTCAAATTTTAAATTGGACCAGTCCCAATCATTAATGTTGGACATCATTCTCAAATTTCTAAAATTCTCGTTCCTTTGTTATTAGAATAGAAGTACGATAACTCGATAACTGACATCATTTATCTTACAACAGCGTACATCCACTTCTGTAACGATGAACTTCCACGAAATTTAACTGCATCCAAGTGTCAACGATATCAAAGTGAACGACCTTGCTCTTATTGTTAGTCATTCGAAACCACAAAATTCCCCGAAGAATTTTAGACAGCAGGCGCTAGATAATTACACATTAATCTGAAATCGACGTACGATACACGATTTTAAATAAAAGAAAAGACCAATGAACTGTACAGCTTTGTTTATAACTATTAATCATTTAGGCGCACTTTATCGTTAAAAGATTTAAAACATTGCTCATCTCATTTAAATTGTATAAAAAAACTACTGTTTATAGATATTGTACATATAGTAGGAAGTAGATAGTGTGAATATAATATAATATAAATATAACCCTGCATAATGTGAATAGCTTATTAACTGTGCTAGATGGCCGTATACTGTGAACAAACCAAACCTTCGCCTATAGAAACTAAACTTAGAAATTCGCCGTTGGTGTTGCATTATCGCTGTAGATCCCCGATATATTTGGTATTTTCCCCAGTCGTATGAGCTGTAGAAATGTTTTATTGGTGTACTCACTTTAGTCAAAAACTTTTTAGAAATTTCTGGAGAAAAATTATCCTCTCAACCAGATCCATTTAAAATTTGTACGTATGTTCATCGAAATCGTTGTGAACAACTGTAGTTTTCTCTTTTCGTTCACACTATCGAGTGTACTTACTTTTTTTTAACAATTGGTATGTAATCGGAAGAAGGAAGTATCATATTTTCTACCACTGGTTATGTGACCCACAGGAATTAATGTGGTAGCATTTCTCGGAGACTTTATAAGCCGCGTTAAAAAGAATGCAATGGTTGCGAAATTATAGGCGATTCCCATCTGACTCATTAGATACCGTTGGATGATTCAGATTATTAACCTTTGGGTGGGTAAAATAACAATTCTGACGAAATATCACTGACGACGAGTTTACTAATTCGCAGTGAATTAAAGAAGCGCAAATTCTCATTATCTACCGTTGTCTATATATTTTTTTAAATGTTTATTAAAAACTGAATATCTCAAAAAAATATGAAACTATTACGTATTGTATTATAAACCGTATAGATACTTGCATATATTGTACACATTCTTAAATATAATTCCATTTACAAAAACTACATCAATTATGTTCAAAGGGGGCCACAGATGTAGAGGGAGCTTTATTCTTCCATTCTTACATAGAGCAACTTCAAATTTTGAGAGTCGTCTCATTTTTTTATAAACCACTCAGCAGAGTTTCAAATAGTGCATTACATACCGTTTCACTACCCACAATTTTTATGAATAATGAAAAAAACAAATTTTTCTAGAGTAATTGAGGACTCTAAAACAAATGCAACTCAGTACACGTGAAAGAAGTGAAACTTCTTTGGCGATCTCTATCTACCTTTAAAACGAATAAGTAATGATTTATGTTTTCCAACATATTTTATCTTTAGTCCACCTAAGGAGTATTACTTTAATTCTTTCGTTTATTTTTCCAAGTGCTTAAGAAACCGTAAACTATCAATAACTACAAGGAATTAGAATTATACATAATACTCACTTTTAAATAAAAATTAATTGTTGTTAAATAAACATTTGCTGTAATACATTTACTGTAATATAGCTGCACAGATATAACCCAAAAATTAATTTAGCACTATAGTATAGTGAATATACATTGTACTTTAATATATAAGATGTCGGTCCCTAACAGCTGACTGTAATACAGATATGCGCATGCGCGTCTTTCTATTCCCATAGCCTATCGCTTCGCGAGACGAAACGTTGCAAAACGTGTCGTTTCATGGCCTTGAAATTTTACTCTCATCGAGCCCAAAGAAGTTTCACTTCAAAAAGTAATGATTAGTGTAGATTTTTTTCATTACTCATTACAAAACTAATGGTTAACATAAATTTTTCCTATTACTCGTTCATGGTTAATGGTTCATGGAAAATATTTCCATTAATTATTACGAAATTAACGGACGATGTAAATTATTTATATTAACATTTTAACAACCCTGCCACCCACTACCTCGTATGCATACAGTGGTGTTCGGGTGATAAATCTTGTGACGGAAGCACCGTTAATATGAAATTATTAACTAAAAAATAAGTTGAAAGTTGTACATACGTAGATATGTGTTTATATTTTATATTAGTTATTTCAATGAAACCTCCATAAACGGTCGCATACGGAAAAGTGTTGGAATAAGGTCATTTTGAACGTAAACTTGCACAAAGCCAGATAAATGCAAGATAAATGCTGTGGTGTTTGTAAAAGCCAGTCTGAGTAATCATTAAACAAATTAAAGACAAAGAAAGTAAATGTCTAAAAAAAAAAAAGAAAGGAACTCCCACAACAAAACATGACCGTCATTTTTAACCGACCAAAAAACGAGGAGGTTCACAAGTCGACGTGTATATTTTTTTTATGTATGACTTTACGCATAACTTTTTACAGAGTACTTAGTCTGATTTTGATAATTCTTTTTTTATTGGAAAGGGTGTACCCCGAAGTTGGTTCCATATAAATTTGGAAAAAAAAATCCAACTCTAAGGGTAGGATTGTTGATTGTTGTTCACTCACTGATGGTAATGTATATAACCACGCATAACTTTTCACAGAATAGTCGGATTTTGATAATTCTTTTTTTATTGGAAAGGATATACCCCGAAGTTGGTCCCATGTAAACTTGAAAAAATCTAACCCTAAGGGTAGGAAAACAGGGGATGATTTATAGTAGGAAAATAATAGTAGTAGTAGTAATTAGTAATTTATAACCACAAAAAATAATAAAATAGAAACTGTTTAACAAAAAAGTTAAACCGCCGAAAAAACTGAAACGCAAAAAATAATAAACCTTTCTTTTATTAACCTTAATAACTAAGTTCTTCAACTAATCTAAGTATACGTAAGTAATTTTGAGTCTGCACTAAACAATCTATAAACAAAGATCACTAAATTACCTTAAATTTATAGAAATAACCAAATCAAATTAACAATACAATGGTTATTTCTTTAAATTTAAAGTAATTTGGTGATCTTTGTTTATAGATTGTTTAGTGCCGACTAAAAATATACTTACATCAGTTTTACAACAATTGTTTCACCAAAACATTGTCTTCTTGGTGAAACAATTGTTGTGAACTATTAATATATATGTTTTTGAAACTTTACTTTCATTTCCTTTAATTGATTATGGAGTTTCTACAAGTAAAGCCTTCTACCATTAGGAATTGGATTACTTTGTACATTACACAATTTTCTTACCTCGTATACATTAGGATGCCAAACTTTGGTTAAGAAACGAATTGACGGTGGTGAATACGGATAATCGGGAGGAAATTTCATCCGAGCCTGTAAAAAAAAACAAAAACAATTTATTACAATAAATCGTACCATTCATGACATATGGAATACAAAATATGGTGTTTGTGAAGGAAGAACGTTGAAATAATAACTTATTTTAAAAACAGTTTTCCAAAATATTTTAAGTTGTAATATCTACAATAATATTCTTAAATAAATAAGACATAAACAT